TTTATGAAGGTATAAGGTCGTACCTTAGGCCTAAGGTAAGACGTTATGACTTCAAGGACCGTCACGTGACTGTTAGTGCATAACGCCGCTACCTTACGCGTGACGCTAAAACTCCCTAATACACACACAATAAAACAAATTGTCAGACCAGAAGTCTTGACATGTTTCTCTATGTATGTAGGCCCGCTAAATTCGAATCCGAATCCAGAATTGCGCCACCACCCTCCAGTTTTATACTTTCCCGCATTACGAATTTTTCGAAAGAAGATAAAGTTATGTAATCATGCGCCGGAAAACGACGAATTTTTGCCAGAAAAATACTGGTTCTGGTAACGAAAGTGTGGATAAATCATGTTGCTAAATTTAGGAAAAAATCCTCTAACACATGTTGTAGCCAGAATCCATATTTTGTTGGTTCCTGATACCGAAAAATCGATTGGCGGCAAAACGACTGTCCGTCCGATAGTATGTGGCGACTGTCCGTCTCTGGAGAATCAGTCACGCCTTTGTAACGTTCTCAATAATTTGCGTTCTAACTTTATCAGGATTTCGAGGTATCTCCTGTGATACATCTTTACCTTCTTCGGTCATTTCTTTAGATTTTTGAAGAAAATAACCATAGAAGTTCTCGTCTTCAAAAGAAAATTGTTTCTATTTCGCGCCAGTGAAGACGTGTTTGGAATGTTTTCATCAGTGCTCGCTGCGAGCTTTTGCCTTCATCTATTTATTGTGCCAGAGAGGGGGAAGCTAGGCCATCGTTCAAGAAAAGTTTCGGGAGTAATACATAGTAATATATCTCCTTGAAGTGTAGATTTGTTGCAGTTTTTTAATGGAAGTGCAAAGAGTTTGTAGGCGCCTACTACTATTTTCTTTTAACTATGAGTTTTTGCAGTGCGAGCGGTGAAGTCGACAGGAATCGAGCCAGGACCGAAAGACCCTCGCGTGCGCAACAACCTCGATCCGTCAGGTTGACTCGTGTCACGGCATTGCGGACCACTCTATGTCAACATGCATTGTTTATAACATTACTTTGTAATTTTTTTATTAGAAATCGCTAATAAGAACATAACATTTTTTTTTATTTATTACACGCACACACAGTATCATGTTTAATTATGTTCTAAACATACACTGCTAGGGGACAGTGATGGTACACCTTCCCTAGTGTCTGTGTATTATTTAATTCTCGAGTCAAGGTACACATTTTCCAACCATCTACTTCACTGTACCATACTGTCACTGTTTTTATGCAATTATACACTATACTAACCTAAGTATAAAAAAAATCATTTTAGTAATGACATTATTGATTTAGTTCATTCTTGTATTGAATAATTCTACAAAACAGAATATGCCGATTATTGCAATGTTCTTCTATGTCTTTGACCCACATCTCGATCGAGTATTTCATGCAGTTTCCTTTAATAATTGAGCGAATGCAGAGACTTGACTTCCAGAATGACAGTATATATACTTTAGTTCACCTTCCTAACTGTCGCTAACAATTTTTATTCGTGTTGAAGTTCATGGAAAAAAATGACTTCGAGAAAATTGGGGTTAGATGTCTCTTCCAGCCGCGTAAGTCAAACCGGCTGCAGCGCCACCGCAGGCTCTGCGGCGCCTGCAACAGTTCTGGACGTTGCCTCATTTCTCAGAGATGTCGGTGAAACTGCTTTCTTCGGACATTGTCACATTTTCCAGACGACAGGCTCTTCTTCGAGACCGTCGACACAAAGACCGTTAATGAGGGACTACGGAATGGCAAATTACCTAGTCGAGAGCGCCAGAAATTATATTTAAAAATATTACAATTGTACATAATAATAATAATAATAATAATAATAATAATAATAATGTACAATTACAATGATTATTTTTTATTAGTAAAAGTTTCTTCCACTGCGACATTGACGTGACCCATTTCTCATCGCGTTGTTACTATTAAGGAAAATGATGAAACACAATTTATTTATTTTATTTATTTAACGTAAAGACAGTTAAAAACTGCGTCATACTATGAGAAGAAGTGCAATCTGTGCACGATTTCTTGAGCTCTGGGATCTCTGTCCTAACTCGTAAAGTAGTCGAGTTGGTTTATTAATACCAGAAGTCAACCAATTTTTTGTTATCAAGGACCAACAGAACGTAGTTTCTGACTACACAACATATTAAAAGAAGTAATTTACTACATATACAAAAAGATTTATCCACTTTTTCGATAACACGGTCTCACAATAAGCGTTTTTCTGACGTAAAATCGTGGATGAAAGGCAGTGCGTGGTAAGGGCAGAGAGTAAAATGGATATGTCAGGCAGATAATACTTTTCAGATCCATATAGTTCAAGGAATATATACTAGGTCGGAAATGTCATGCGAAACCCACACACTCTACGTATATAGTTTGAATAAATTGTTTGGGATTTCGAAACAAAGAAGCATTCGATAAAGGCGAATCTTCAGTCACCACAAGAAAAAAATTACAGAACATATTCTTACTGTAAAATACACCAATATGTTACACATAATTTTTACGATTCAAATATTACTATCAAATGCAATGTTGCCTTATTTCCGGCCCTTTCCACAATATTTGGCATCATTAGAATCAACCATTACAATTTTGCAATGCGATTCATCCGTATTTCTGTCTCCGGTAATAGTATGACATTAATAATTAAGATACGGTTTTTCATGTAATTACAGAAACAAAATACCTCTATTAAATAATATGTTTTAGAGATAACAAGTTATTTTAAATTAATTTTTATTTTACTTATTTTCACAACTTCACTGTTACATTTTAATATCGAAACTGAACATTTCAGATGAACGTTTGCAATGTAGTATGTTACGGAATCATCTTTCTTACCAAACAATGTAAAGCTACAGCGCTTCTATGGCCACTATATCTTTGCCATGAATTGTCAAACTTAGTCCCTTCTAGGAAAGTGGGTTCTCAAAGTCGAAAATGAGTGGATGATGGTGTAATAATTCCAACCACGTGCTTCCTCATGTTTCAAACAGCACAATCTTAATTATTTCAAAAACTAATATTTCTTATAGATCATTATCTTATCGCGTTGTTGGATTTGGGGATGGTGTATGTTCAATTTACCCCTCCGGGATTCATCACTGGCTTCACGGTACTACTCTTCACTTGAGCATCGGTTTCTCGTAAACATTGTGTATACGTACGTAGTTTCTGTTTTGAATAAAACTCTTGTGTATGCTGAAGACTAGAGTGAAATTACTTCTGAGAAAGTAGAACTTTCTTTCAGCCGCTTCGAATACGTGTTCTGATTTGATAGGCGACGTTCCGCGCTCGAAAAATTCTTGTACAGAGCTATTTTAAAAACTATAATGATTTTTCTCATTATGGAAAATATATACACAATAATATAATTCCGTTCCCTATCAATAATGGTTCCAGATTGTCAAAAGCGAAGAGAAAAGTTATGCACTTTGGTCGGAAAATTATCGATAAAAACAAAAATTGTAGTTAAAAACAATATTCTCAACAGGTATCTTCCTCCGAATACTTAATGTAAAATAGGATGTGGGGAAAATACTGTTAGTAAACTCTAAACATTTCAATTAATATGTAGAACACTCTACAGGGCATTTAAGAATAAAACAAAGAAAGAAACAAGAATATAATTCTACAACCAAATGGCTATAGGCGTTCTTCTCTATGGAAGTGAGATCTTGGACTCATAAACGCATTGTATAGAGCACTCTCACACAGTTACAGGATGCGAATGAAATTCTCAGAAGAATGAAAAGTAGCCCAAGGGAAGAAAGATTTGGAAATGAGGATACAAGAGAAAACTCAAAATGGAGAATATCAATGAAACATCGATGGAGTACAGAAATTAGTGGCTACGACATGTTCAAAGAATGGAAAACTCCCGTTTACAGTAGTTAGCTGTCTAATATAATTGAAGAGGTAGGATGTATGTAGGAAGGCACAGAAAGAAAGACGTTCTATGAGGACGGATCAATCTCACGCATAATTCTTCAAGAAATGAAGGAAAAGAAGAAGAAAAGAAGAAGACAAAGTAAGAGATCAGTTATTGTAATTGGTGAAAACACAAGAAAACTTAAGAAAGTAGCTAGAAGTAACATTTTAATTATTTGCCTTACATTTCCAATTTTTCGACAAACGTGTCAGATTCTTGAGACATTTAGTTGTCTCAATAACAAAATGACGTCCTAGCGGTCTGGCAGTTGCATAATTTGCATCAACGTATTACACAGTTTATATTCAACGTGCCATCACCGGCAAAAGAAAACACGCAAATCGCCCAAAATGCACCACATTACTTTTGTGGAAACCACTGATAATTTATTGCATTTCGGTAACGTATCATGCACTAAATTACTTTCCCTTGTTGTCAGCAGTTACATTCAATAACTGGTGTTAGAATTACTGAAAGAAAATGTAGGATATTATAAAACTAAGGTCATATTAATGATACATTTGTGATAATGCAAGAAATTATTACAGTATGAACACCAAAAATTGTATTTCGGGTAACAAATTATAATCAATTAATTTCCAAAAACGAATGTGATATAATTTATTTTACGTCACTACGGAATCATCTTTTAATTTCAAGGTTGCATACAATTTCCATACGCGCGTTCGTACAGATTGTTTTAAATCATTCAAATATTACATTTCAAAAAGTTGTTTTACTGCTTATATTCATGCCGTACATATTAATCATTATATATTACGTCAGAGTAAACTACAATATTGGCATGTATGTCAAGGCAGCATTGAACGTCTTGCCTATCATGTTATTTCGAAACGTATCATCTTTATTTCAGTTTTCGATAGCACTTGGTCATCTAAATCTTAAACGCTTAAACACATGATTCATTCATTTTAATTATTCAGATAGTTGAGACAATTTTGAGAGGTGTACAACAATTAACCACGTGCAGATTTGGAGGCAGGCTACAGGGCACGTGTTGGGCACAAAAAAAATGCTTACGTGAACGGGTCCATTCGCTTCCGACGTCTTCTCTTGACTCATCTTGGAGCAGCTTGCTGTCGTCTAGCGGCGATAACCTTGGGACATGTGGGCCACGACTGCCCGAATGGGGAGCAACGCTCTCGATGCGTGGCCGCGGGCGACCCCCTCTCTACTGACTGACTCCGACGTCGAGATCCGATCGACAGATCTGGAGGCGCACTGGAGCGCCGCCACTGTCCACCTCTCTACGCGCGTCGAGTAACCTTTGACTGATCAGGCCCCCAGGAGGCAACGGTTAACTTTCTCCGCCCGGGGAGGGGTTCAGGGTCTATCTTCACTTCCTCATTTATCTGTCGGGTCAAAGCAAACACGACGAAGAAAAGTAATAATACGGCGCTGCTATCTCCTCCTTTAGACCTTGGCTAATGATCTAATTTTAATATTAATTTTCTGTTCACAAGTAGTACGTCAAAACTATACAGCAATGAGTTTTAAGAGCACGAATTTTTTTCGTCCTAAATAGTTTGGGAAAAGCAAATTAAAAATTAAAGTAAATGGTTTTGGTATAAAATCTAATATTTAGAAAATTTAGATACAATTTAGTACTTACTAAGGTTCCTTTTGGAATGTGAAAGTACTGCTATTTAGCATTATTGTGTATCGAAAATACTGTTGTGAAGGAGTTATTAACTACATCAAAGCAAAATTCTGTCCCAGAACGCAACTAGACGCCTCGTGCAAACGTACTGAGAACGAGCACATATCTTTTGGTGATTATGAATAGTGCTATTTAGAGATTAGCAGAATTCAACCGATTCTTTATCAAACATTACTTACTCGCATATTTCATATAGAGGGAGTTCACGAATTCTACGAGAAAATATGCTGATATTTTGACAGAAAAACAATTTTTGGATCTTTGATACTGAAAAGGATTTTTACTTTCTCCTACGCGCAGTATAATAGTTTTCTTCGTAGACGTGGCATAGTCAAAATCCATGTTTTGAGTCACAATATCACTCAAAATCCAGAAAAACTGATAATACTTTCAAAAAATTGTACAGGACGTTATTTTAAGATAAATTTTGAGGCAGTAATTCTATTGGGAAAAATATCGACCTTCAATAATGTAGTTAAACAAGAGCGTCGAAAAAATGTTTGGCAGTTTTCGAAAAATTTAGATTTCACTGATAGAATCTGCGCGAAAAGATGTTTTGTGAAACAAATTCATTATAAAGAATAGCCAAAACTTGTGTTTGACTACACACAAGTATGACAAAAGTGTTATGTATGGGACAAAAACATTTATTTTCAAGAAACCTACAAAATGTTTTTTTAAAATTATTATTTAAGGTCGCATCAACATCTAGGTAATTAGCGACCACTATTTCATTTAACGATATGATAACTGTGAAGATGACCTGATATGGTGATGGTAGGGGGGTGAAAGGACGAATGTAAATACAACCATGCCCGGGGCGGGACTCGAACACGCAACCCTTCAGTTCGAGATTTTTACGGCACTACTATACCTTAACGGTCTGGGCCATCGGGACGGGCACATGCGAAATGGTTTTCTAAAAATTAGCACATTTTCCTGTTGCATTATATTACTTCCAGTATTCCGAGAAAGAAAAAGAGCACGTAAACAAGATATTCTCAAAAATGGATCCAAATTGCTTTTTTAAATATGTTTTTTTCGAATACAGCAAAGTTCGTTTCAGAATAAGGAATACATTCATTTTTTATCACAACCTCTGCAATTTCGACAATCGCAAAAGTTACATTTTCGAACCTGTACTATACCTTCAATATTGAAAATAGACTTTTTCTTAATGAATTCTATTTTTCAATATTAAAACTTTAAATAATTGATTCCATTAACACTCTCTCGCCATACGTACTTACGTAGTAAAGACAAAGTATTGTAACGTTGCTGCGAAAACCGGTGATGTTTTGGCAAAAAAAAAACTCGTATTGTGCGACCGTTATCGAAATGGTGAAAAAATGTTGTTCCTATACGTAGTAAAATACGTCCTCTAACACGTTCTGTTGTCAGAATCAACGTTTTGGCGCTCCTTTATACCGAAAAATCGATTGAAGGAAAAACGTCTGTCTGTCCGTATGTGGTTAATGCTAGCGCCTAAACCTAAGTAGAGGATTTTATCTAAAATTGATATTCCCCAATCGATCTAGACGAACTCAAGACTCCGCGTGTTGAAACGGAAATCTTGATTTTTGGGGGTACTTTACATGGAGTCTCAACATTTTCTAAATTTTCTTTAGTATGTTTGCAAATGGGCTATATTGATTAAACATGTCCTCAAATAGCGTTAAAACGCTTAAGTAAATGACATATGTCTTAGTTTCATTGAAATTTGAATTTTTAAAAATTGGAAAAGTTATAATCAATGCTAGAAAGTATGAGCTTACGGACACAAAGCAAGTGCTGTTTTATAATGAAATTCGAAGTGAGTCGAGCCCCATGTTGGGAAAAGCTACAATGTATTTCAAGCAGAATCCCCGAGCGGGAATTCGAACACATTATATGGGAGTCCCTGGTATACTTTGTTCTGCGTGCAATCTTATGACTATTCCACTCGTGAAATTAAAACCAAGTGTTTAACTATACATACAAAATGCCCCGATCAGGGCGGTATGTCTCAAAAAGTTTATCGCAATTTCTATCCGATTTTTCTTACCGCTTCTTCCCCCTGGTCAATCATACACTGTGACTTAACTATTTTAGGAGGCGGTATACTACATCGATCGCTATGTCGATGTCCAATAACCATCATATGAACCTCTTTGATATCAACATAGCTTTCAGTTTCAAAATTTGGCGCATTTTGGAACTCTGTTGGACATAATTTCACTCGTGGAATAGTCCTATTAAATACCACTTGTGGTTTGAAATTTTCAGATAAATTCCAAAGCACTCGTGGTATTACTAATAATAATTTTGACAGTAGTTTCTACCACATCGTATTGGTAGGGGGAGCATGATCAATGAGTCGCGTGTAGAAATCATTCGCATTCTTTTCGCAAACGTTCCCATGAAACCAATGTTAAACCATGAAACCACAATTCAAAAATATACGTAAGAATAAGAAATATACTTACAATGATTATTATTTAAGAGTGCATTGCGAAATGATATGAAATCATGTTGAAAGTGAATGTCTTTCATATTTGGCGTTTGTGGGATGTATGTTCGTTTACCTTCAACACGTACTGGTCTCACTTAGAATTTCTCTACGAAAGAATTCGAATTAATATTCTCACATGCTTTTCGACATGATTGTATGAATTCTTACAATAGTATACAGGTGTCCAGAAGCTTCCGTTACAAAAAATACTCTATCTCGAGCCTCCTAAACAGCTACATAATGAATAGAATATCATAGGAAAAACGCAGCTATAAATCCGTCATCCATTTGGCGTCAGAAAAGCGCGTCCAGTCTCTATGACTCCCGCCTGGGAGTAACTGGTTACCGCGGGGGGAGGGACGCCCGTGGTGAGAACGGAAAAGAACAGTGCGGGGCCTTCACACGAACGGGCAGGTGAGTGACCTTCAGAACGGTGGCGTGTCGCATGTCTCGTGCGTCGGGGACCCGATGTCAAGCTCCCAGTGGGGGGAATCTCCGAATCGGGCGCAACGAACGCGTCTTCCTTTCTGTGTCATTTATTAAAGAGTGCAAACTTGTAAATATCAATTTACGTGTTCACGCAAATCGTACAATTTTCAGATTGAAAGTTATTCGTCTTGAAGAAAAGGTCTAGCCGGGTAAGGGTAGAAAAGAGAAAATATGTAAAACTTTTTAAGAATGATTTTGATCCAAAGTAAATTTTCAATTTGTACCTATCCTACGCTTCCATGAAATATGCTATTTTACGTGTACGTTTAAAACTTTTTGCTTCAAACTTTTTAAAATAAAAGCCGTAATATTTTTTTATATATTTTATTAAAAATTCGAATGATATATATTTCTTAAACAGCGGTTTTCGAAATTTCTTGACGTCCCAGTCAAGTAAGCTTTCAATCGCGGGTCATGCGTATAACTTTCAATTGCGGGTCAGTCTGCAAACATTCAACTTCACACTACTATTGTGATACATTTATGATGTCAAAAGTAAAAGGATTTGCAATAATTGCAATATTACCTATCTATTACCTAACTTATTTGCTCAATAAGTTAGGTTATAGAACCATCAACAGTAAGTTGTTTGTTAAACTCGGCACAAACACTTCTGAGACAATCAAAATGCTTCAGTTGCCCCACGGATCAAGAAAATAAGTGTGTTTGAGTAGCGTACAAATATAAGGGGACCGGGAAGACATTCAAGACGATCAATGCACAGGACGACACTTAGTCTCCCATAGCCGATGAAAATGTGACCAAAGGGCGAAATCTTTTGAAATATGACCGTCGGTCACGTCGTGTCGACCACGCTTGTTTGCTCAAGTGTTTAATCTGAGAAAATCCAGCATGCATTCAATTGTGACGGATCATTTGAACACACGAAACGTTTGCGCGAAGTTGGTATCTTAAAAGGTGATCAAAAGGAGCGTCGCCTAATGGTTTGCGGTGAACTTTTGGAGCGTGTACAGATCCACCCGAATTTTCTGAACAATGTGATAACTGGGATCGTCCTCCGGCGCTTTCTTTGTGTGGGAGAAAATCGAGACGAAAACGAGTTTTGAAAAATTTCTTTCGAACTCTATTTGTGCTGTCTTCCATGTTTGCATACACTGTTACCAGCAAAGGCCAGAAAGCGGAAGATAATTCGCATTCCTCCTGTGCCATACGCTCCGGAGCCGAAGGCTGTAAGTCAGGCCTGCATAGCATTTTACACTTTCACTGACCTCGGGAGCCGCGCGCCAGCCACTCGAGGGCAACTTCGGTCAAAAAGGAAGGGGGGTAATGCCCTATATGTTAATAGTTATATGGTTGGCGTCTTCGAAAAGAACCGAAACCTCGGTATCGTCAGTTATCTTGGTCAATGCCGTACGTCAGTTCATGCAAGGAAATATGATTGGGGATGGGGTGTGTTAGAAGAACTTTTAGTGACAATATTCAACAGAATCTAGACAGTTAGCTGACGATCGCGAACGTAAAACCCTCTAGTAAAAAATTGTTATTCACACTGACGCTGTAACACTTCATATTTCTTTGTAAATCAGTGCTAAACGTCGACCATGTGGCTCTCTCGTTACAGGCTTTACGTGACTGCCTTGTTATATTCTCGTATTCAAACAGCGAAGAATATTTACACTATTGTACAGTATTTTTTCATGTCTTAAAATGTCCGAACTTCTTAAAAGTTTGTGTATCATTTCATCTGTTAAATACGATACACACCTAGCATCTATGAACTCTGTGTAGCACAAATATGAGAAGAAAAATTAAGACTTTGCATTGAAGGAAAATAATAATAATAATAATAATAATAATAATAATAATAATAATAATAATAATAATAATAATAGTTTATTGCACAACACGCGGTAATGTGAAGTAAATAACATTTGTAAAGAAAATAATAGGGAATAGTTATTTACTTTACAAATGGTAAAATATGCAATTATGTGCTATCGTTTTAGCGCGAATGAATAAACAGCTAACGT